GTTGATACATTAGGGATATATATTAGTAGGATCCGACAGGCAGTAGGATGTGTGCTTTCCGCTTCATTTCCTGTTCCTTGTTTGGTTGTGGGCTTAGAGTAGATTCGCACAGTCTACTATCTATTCAATCTTAGCTATAATATATATATATATATATATATATATATATATATATATATATATATATATATATATATATATATATATATATATATATATATATATATATATATATATATATATATATATTATATATATATATTACATATCCTGTATACGTCAAGTAATCATAGGTATCAGGTACGGGTCAAGTCATAGTATACAAATTCAATACACCACATCCTAGTACAAAAACATAATTTTCGGATAGATCATTAAGTAAGTGAAACTAGAAACTTATCTAGAAAAGGTTTGAATTGCATTATTAAACCGGTATAACTTAAAGGACCTTTAGTGGTTAATTCTATAATACCTTAGTTTATACATCAGGGTTATGTATAATTAATATCCGACAGGTAGTTGGATGTGTGCTTTCCGCTTCATTTCCTTTTCCTTGTTTGGTTGTAGGCTTAGTGAAGATTCACACATTTAACGGTCCGTTCAATATGATATTGTATATAACTAGTAAAGACTAAGTGATTATAGAAGGACTATTGTCACACCCCAAAACCAGAACGGAGGAATCGTTCGAGGACGGATGACTCCATGTAGTATCATAACAGTTGAGTAAATAGTAAAGAAAGCAAACACAACCATCATAAATATAATTTAAAAAGTTACATTGTTGATTGTATTACATGTTTCGAAAGAAATTACATTATGATGATATAATAATTTTGAAATTGACGCCTTAGCGTCCTTCCCCAAAAGCTGTTGTTTACATGTATTACTGAATCCTTGAGAAATACAAGTAGTTTTGAAAAGTGTCAGCAATTAAGTTGGTGAGTTCATAAACATTTTTGTATAAGAATTGTATGGCTTTTTGTATAAAGTATTTGAGTTTATATATAGAAAATCCAATATTTGCCATAAATGAATAGTAGTTTTAAAGTTATCAGAAACCTGAATGGATAAGTATTTTCCATACCTAAAATAGTGTAAGTATATTTATATATGTATATATAATCACTAACCGTTTGTTAGCCCCGTAAATCAAATGTTTCAATATTTCATGTGAGTTTTATAACCGTACTATTGACCCAGACTGCCTGTCACAACGTTCTTCAGGCGTTGGAATGATATGGCGTTTGTCACCCCATACCCGCCGGTCCAACTGTAGCTAAGAGTTTAGGTTTGGGATTGTCAATCCCGTATAGATCTATACACAAGTGTCACGCTCTCCCTACATGAGACTATGGTTTATAACAAAGGACTTGAAATGCGTACTTGAAAGTACGTGAAGTAAATGTCTCACAAAAGTTAGTATCAAATAGATTTACGTATGAAAAAGTCCATTTTTCTTGTAAATGTAAGTATTTCCTTTCCATAGTTTTTATAGAGTGTAAAATATCATGAATATCTCGTAAACTATACCTATTATAGTTTTTCAAAAGTGTTTTTCGTTTGAATGATAAACCTTAGTGTATTAGCAACTTTGCATGTAAAGCAGAACATTTGTAATAACGTTATTTTACTTATTTAACATTTATACACAAAATGTAGATAAATCCTTAGAAACTGTAGGTAACGATTTGCATTTTAACATGAGTTTTTGTTGCGTTTCACTTGTATTATTCCCCCTAAAATATAGTAAAAAGGTGAAAATATAGGGGTAGGAACCCACCTGGTAAGTGTGATGATTTGAAGAAAATGAGATTTTTCTTGGGTAACACTTCACCGAAAAGTGGAAAATTTCTCAGATGTTTCGGATCTTCGGAGATTCATCGTAGCTTGGATACGTAACCGGGGCGTCAAGATAGTTTCGGGAGGCTCGAGAGTGATAAAATATGGGAGAAATGTTGTGAATTAACAAAAGAAGTCGGGAGCCTCGCACCCTTTATATAGGGGTGGAACTGGCCCTTGGAGGTTGGGCGTACTCACGTACGTTGGGTGTACGTCATGCATGACTCCATCTTCAGACTCCAGACTTTGGATGAGAGAGGCTAAAGGGTAGCGTGGGACATGGTCAATCCAAGGCACTGCATTGAGTATGTTGGGCGTACTCTCATACGCCGGGCACCTTCCCCCCCCCCCCCCCCCCCCCCCCCCGCCGATTTGTGTGTCCCGAACTTCTAAAATCCATAACTCTTGCATACTAGATCTGTTTTTTACGTTCTTTATATCCCCATGTAGCTGAGATTATACTCTACAACTTCCATTTAGACTCCGTCAGATGGTTTCGACTTTATTTTTATTATTATATTTTTATTAGGGACAGGAAAAATCCGTTTAAAATCCACAACTTCTTTATGCGGCGTCCGTTTTTGTCTGTCTTTTTATCGTTGTACTACTAATGTTGAGGTCTTCGTTTCTCGTTTAGGTTACATCGGCTAAAAATCACTTGATCACTGTTTCGAGTTTTTAATTGTCTACTACTATTCTGAAACTTAGAAAAATCATAACTTCTTTATACGATGTCAGATTTGGACATTAGCGGCGACGACGATAGCCACATTTAGCAGCGACATATAATGTGAAAGTTGTATGTGGTCGCTACATGCTATCATCGCCTTTGTAGCTATCATCGCCAAAGGTGTCCGCATAATGGATATTATTCTTGTAGCCAAATCTAAGACATATCTAAGACATAAAAAAGACCTATTTATAAAAGACCCTTTTATAAGGAAATTATTTTTTAGACTTTATCTAAGTAAATCTATAGATCACCGTGACCAGCTCTACTGTATTATCAATATATACAATCTTAAATCTAAAAAGTCTATTTTAATAGGTACATCTCAAAGTGCTAAATATACCCCTGTTTGAGTGGAATAGCTTGTGTCGCACTTTATGAAAAAAACACTTTATGAAAAAAACACATCAATATTTGTGTCTTCTAAATTCAACAATTGGCACAATAATATTTTTAAAAAGTCACAGTAAATAATATTTATCACTACATATGAAAAAACATATTAATATTGGTGTATTAGTAAGCACTTTGAGCGGAATAGCTTGTGATACAACAATATTTTATTTTTGTTAAAGATAATATGTTTGGGATGGATTTATTTTTGATTTTGTATATTTGTCGTTTAGAAAAATATGGGTTTTATTTCATTACTTTTCATTATTAATTATAAGAAAACTTGAATGATTTATGCAATAAATTTAAAGTATTAAATATAATAGTAACTAATAAATAAATACAATAAACTATTAATTTATTTATATATTTTTCTATAAGTCCTCATTCGAACTTTTATATATATATATATATATATATATATATATATATTATATATATATATATATATATATATATATATATATATATATATTCTAAGTTTCTATTATTATTATTTTTACTTGTTTTCTTTAAAAGTTTATAACGTTTTAAACTTTTGCTTATTTTTTTTTATGTTTAGCATATTTATTTACATGTTTTTTTTATAATATATAACATTTTTTAAATGTGTAAATTTAATAAAAACAATAATAAATAATAATAGGATTTTAGATAATGAAATAATTGATTTTAAAAAAATTAAAATAGTTTTATAAATAATATATATTAGCTTTATTAAAATAAAGAAAAAAGATTAAATTACATGAATGATCCTTTAAGTTTGAAGTTTTTCCCTGAAGACCCTAAGAAAGTTTTCACTCAGATTGTACCAACATATGTAAACTTGAACACAAATAGTCCATCGATTACATGTCTGTCTAAAGCAACCTTAACATTCCCCCATGTGCCTTGCACATGAGGGTATTTTTATCATTTCACCTAAAGAAGGGCCCACCTCACCCAATGTTCTTTTTTTTGTTGTCAGAAATTATGTCCGTCATTTTTGCAGATGTTATGCAAGGGAAGTCGGAGTTTACAGACAACTTGAGACATAAATTGAAGCATCCCCCAGGCAAGTTAAAGTTGCAGTGATAATGGAGTACATATTGGATGGATTTGATTATGTTAAAGTTGCACAGAAGGTCCATTTCTTGGACCTTTTAAAGAAACCTAAGAGCATCTCCAACCCACTTTCATTCTCCATTTTTTCCCATTTCTCTCCAACTCTTCTCCATTTATTCCCCCATTTTGGGGAAAATGAATAGTATAACACCGTATTTGGTGTTATACTATTATATTCCCTCAAAATAAAGTTAAACTTTGCGTTGTCGGTTTTAATCACTAATTTTATATATTTAAACATTTTTGGTTTTTTTATCTACTAATTATTATTTAAATGAAATATATAATACATATAATATTATGTTATATATTAAATTATATTAATTAGTTATAAATATAAAGTTTGTTTTTTGTTTTTCAAATTCATATTAAAATTTAAAAACATATTGAAATTTTAAAACACAATAATGTATTTTACAAAAGCTTATACTTACGTATTATAAATATTATCTTATTTACTTAATTATGTTATATATTAAATTATATTAATTAGTTATAAATATAAAGTTTGTTTTTTGTTTTTCAAATTCATATTAAAATTTAAATGCATATTGAAATTTTAAAACACAATAACGTATTTTACAAAAGCTTATATTTATGTATTATAAATATAATCTTATTTACTTAATATTATTGTAATGAAAAAAATATAGATTATATATTTGTTAAAACCAAATTAATAGAAGGGGTGTGCTTGACAATTTATATAAATTATAAGAATGCAATATACTTTTTGGGAGAAAAAATTGGGTAAAAATTGGAGTAGGATTGAAGATGAAACACTGTTTATCCCATTTTTACTCCATTTTTTTAGGAAAAAATGGGAATGGGTTGGAGATGGTCTAAACAAGGTCTGAAGGTCAATATGCTTTGAGAACATGGCCTCAATAGCTAGGCCCATAAATCAAGCCCACTTGATCATCAATTAAAAATGATCGAAAGAGAAATCAACTCCGTCAACGACAACCCTCTAATTGATATTTCCCGGAACAAGGTTTTACAAGATGGTAACTTCCAAGGAACCCCAATCAGAGTTTCCATGGACAACACTCGTTTGGCCATTGTTGCTGTAGGGAAACTCATGTTTTCCCAATTCTCAAAGCTTGTAAATGACTTCTATAACAACAGATTACCCACCAATCTCTCTGGTGGCCGGAATCCAAGTTTTGGATTACGTGTTCAAAGGTTTAGAAATTTCAATGGCTTCGTATTACTCGATGCTCCAATTTCATGCCAACCTTGTAGTTACCCATGTCCAAAGCGCTGAACAACACAACCAAGACATAAATTCTCCAAGGTTAATTTCTTCCTAGAAAACTTCTGAAGCTGTTGATATTTGGAGGAGAACCTGTAAGCCATAGTGTAGAACAACATGAGGGAAGAACTTTGAACAGGGTATTTGATAGGCGAGAAGGTTACTTCACCAGGATAGGAATTTGATAAGGTGTTTACAGTGGTTTGCAAATGGCTAGTGATTGATCCCTTATCGGAGTGTCTTGAAGGCTGTAATGGTTTTCCTACTCCAATTTGATAACTTTTATTTGACATCTTTACATTACATTATATGTATATGTTGTTTTGGAAACGGATTTACTATATTCCATGAATAAAATTTATTAGATGAGGTTCTTACAACAAATATATAGTTTCCGAGATAGAATCAAAATGGGTTTTGGAACAGAATTAAGACCAGAGGGTGTGTTTGGGAAACTCTCTCATTTTTTGTGGGCCACAAGATCATTTCTCTCACTTTGTTTTCCTTCACCTAAACCTAAGGAATTGATTGAAAACTTCCTTCACTATTTTTTTTTTAGAATTATATATTTCCTATAAATATTATACTCATTTTGAAGGGAATTAAAGACCATTAGTTTTAATATATTTTTTAATAATTTTTATTAGGTATATAATTTAATAAGTATTAAATATAATAATAATAAAAGTTGGTCAATAGGTATAGGAGAGAGAGTGAGGGAACGAGCTCCCTCACCTCTTTCCCTCACCACCTTTCCCTTAGTCAAGAGATGATGTTCAACTGAGAGGGAAAGCTTCTCTCACTCTTTCCGTCACCCATATCGTCCACCTAACCAAGAGAACCCTAACTTCATTATTTCTCAAATCTCTTAGACCAGAAGGTATGAGTGGAGAGTTTCCCTTACTTTTTGTGGGTCACGCCACCATTTCCCTCACCTAACTCAATGAATGAGTGGGAAACTTCCCTCACTATTTTGTTTTTTTAATTTTTTTAAATAAAATTAATTCTTTTTTATTATTTATAATTTTTAAATTAATAATAAACATAAAATTTAATTAAAATAAAAAAAATTTCATTAATTAAAATAAAATTTACATTAAACCTAATATTTAAATTAGTAGAAAAAAAAAGCAAACAAAAAATCAAACAAACCAAGACATAGAATCCTAAATTTAAATAAACCAAAATACGTCACTCAGAATCATCATCATCATCATTGACCTCATCACCTTCATCATTCTCTCGAAATCTTCGCTCTCGACGAACATATCAGAATCCTCGTCTGATTCGTCAAACAAATCATCGTGAGAAAACTCTATCGGGGGCTGAATATGAGCCCTATAAAGGTGCTCCACCAAATCAGCACGAATGGCGTGATGAATGACGTGATTGTGTACTTCTCCTCTATTCGCCCTATACTCTTGTGTACCAACCGCTACTCCTTCAACATTTGGCAAAACTTCATTTTCGTTGTACCGACATATCGCTCTTCCTTCGTCTTCAAGAATCATATTAAGCAATATGATGCATGCATACATTATGTGTTGTAACCTTTTTACTTCATATAACCTTGCACCGACTGGTAGTACTTGCTAACGTCTCTTAAGTACACCAAATGTTCGCTCCATATCCTTCCTAGCTGACGCTTGCGCCTCTTTAAACTTTTTCATTTTCGGGTCGTTAGTACATGTAAACGATTTCACAAAAACAGACAATGGAGGATATATATATATATATATATATATATATATATATATATATATATATATATATATATATATATATCGTCAGTAAGATAGTATCCACGAATCTATGGTACCCCCATTTGCTTGAAAAGGTGCATCATGCGACTTTCCAAGGTAGATATCGTTGAATACTGATGACTAGACTAGCAAATTGATGCCAATTTTTGCGCCAGGGACCAAAGAATGCATGTCATATTCAAAGATCATGTGATGTGATAGCCTCTAGAACGATCGTCGGCTCTTTGTGGTCGCCTCTCGTGCACTGACCACACCATACGTTGGGGCATAATGATTAACCCCAATGCATTAAACCAATACTACAAAGCTTTTCTACGGAATCCATGCTTGCCTTCATGCACTGTGTACAATTGGTGGATATCGTTCATAGTTGGTTTGTGCAAATATTATTGCCCATAAACCAAACAGAACGCTTTGCAGAACTTGTACACACACTCTCGCACAGTACACTCTGACATCCTAAAATATTCATCCCATCTATTTGCAACCATGTTGTATGCTAACTAACGAATTGCAGCCATGCATTTTAGAATTGGAGAGAAACATTTTATCCATCTCGCATCCATTTTCCATTGGCACTATGGAAAGCGACATTCCAAATCGCCAACAATACGTAAGAATAGTTTCTTCTTCATCTGGAACCACCGTCAAAACATTATAGCGTAGATGGCCTCATCTGCAAAGTAATATTCTGTAAGACGATCGTGTTCGGCTTCGCGATTTCTAAGTAACCGCGACTTTCTTGGTTAAGATTATCACACCCCAAACCAGAATGGCGGAAACATTCGGGGGTGGGTGACTTCACGTAGTATCATAATAGTTGAATATTATAAAGAAAGTAAATACAACCATCATATATATAACAAAAATTTACATTGTTTGTGTGTATTACATGTTCCAAAAGAATATTACAAATATGATGATTTAAAATGTTTTGATAATAGACGGCGTAGCATTCCTTCTCCAAAAGCTGATGGTTAGTTGTATTACTGATTCCCTGAGAAATACAAGTAGTTTTCAAAAAGTTTCAACAATTAAGTTGGTGAGTTCATAAGAGTTTTTGTACTGAAATTTGTATGTCTTTTAGTAAAAATAAATGAATATGTTTTCTAGAAAATCCAATATTTCCTTTCCATAGCTTGAAAAAGTTCCAAGGCTGAAGTGCAATAGTATCTTTCGTGCTCAAATGATGAAAGTGAATTTATGCTCAAAATATGTATTTACTGAATGCATTAAAGAATCTCATAAATCATACTTATTTAATACTTCCGTGTGAGTTTTATAATCATGCTATTGACCCAGACTACCTGTAACAACGTTCTTCAGGTGTTGCAGTGTTATGATGTTTGTCACCCCAGACTTACCGGTCTAACTGTAGCTAACAGTTTAGGTGCAGGATTGTCAATCCAGTATAGATCTATACACAAATATCACGCTCTTCCTCCAAGAAATTATGGTTCATAATACAGGGCTTGAAATGCGTACTTGCAAGTACGTTGAAATTGAATATCTCACAACACTTGGTATTAATAGATTTTATGAAAGAAAAGTATATATTTCATGTAGATGAAAGTATTTCATTTTCACAATGCTTACGTAAAGATGTAATGAATAGCTTGTATACTATACCCGTTATAGTTTTTCTGAAAATGTGTACCATTTGGTGATGAAATTTTGATGTAATACTAACATTGTATATAGTTTATATGTTGATGTCGAAGTTGTTTAATATTTATAAATATATAGGTGGTGTATTTAAATCTGTAGAAAACGATGAGTTTTTCTTGTATTGCACTTGTATTCCCCCCCCCCCCTTAAAACCACAAAAGACGTGAAAATGTAGGGGTATGAAGTCACTTGTTTGGTTTGAAGAGAGTGAGATGAGAATTGAGCAGAACTTCGACTGCAGAAAGCTGCGTCTTCGGATTTCTCGAGGATCTCGGTAGCATAAAACCTTCATCGGGGCTCGGGTATGGAATCGAGGGTGTTGGGATAGTCTCTGGAGCATAAGAGAGTGTAAGAGTGAGGGAAGAGTTGAGAAATGTGTGCCAAAACCCGGGGCTTATGCAGTCTATTTATAGTGTAGAAACACCCCGTACGCTGGGTGTACTCTAGGGGTACGTTGGGCATACTCTGGAGTCGTGTTTGCTTATGACTCGAGCCTAGCTAACCTGTTAGCCGATGGGACGCGACCCTGCGTCCGAGTACGCTGGCCGTACTCTAAATTACGCAGGGCATAATTTGTATTTGCAACTTCTAAATTCCGTAACTTTCGCGTACGAGCTCCGTTTTTCGTGTTCTTTATATCCACACGTAGGTGAGACTATGCTCTACAACTTTCATTTAGGCTTAGTCGGCTAGTTTTGAATTTATTTTTAATGGTATATTTTTAGTAGGCCGGGACTGCTAAAGTCCGTTAAAAATCCATAACTTCTTAATCCGACGTCCATTTTCATCTGTCTTTTTACCATTATACTTCTATTATGGAGACCTTCAACTCTAGTTTAGGTTGCGTTGGCTAAAAATCGTTCGATCTTTAATTCGAGTTTTTAGCTGTCTACCGCTGTTATGAAACTTAGAAAATTCGTAACTTCTTCATACGGAGTCCAATTTGGGAGTTCTTTTTATGCACGTTCACGGTTTAACGTAATCTACGACTTTCGTTTAGGTACCTAAGGCTAAAATGCATTTTATTGAAATTTCACTTTTTACGTTTAGTAGTGTTTTACCGGGTGTGTCGTGGATTTTTGAGTGGTCGTAACATTTTCGTTATAACTCGGATTTGAATGTTCTTTATGTTTTTGGAAACCTTTGCACGATATCTAACATTTGATGCATTCCAATTTAGATTTTAGAACACTTTATTTTTGAAGCTAATTTCGTTAATTCCAAACAATTCGTTGTATTTAACTTTTGAATGTTACATTGATTTGGAAAATATCAGGTTGTCACATCATCCCCCCTTTAGAGGGAATTTCGTCCTGAAATTTAATCTAAGATAGAGTTTATGGGTTAGGAAAAAGATGTGGGTACTTTTGTTTCATCTGATCCTCGCGTTCCCAGGTGTATTCAGGTCCTCGCTTGGCGTTCCAGCGGACCTTCACAATGGGTATGCGAATTTGTTTAGTTGTTTTAATTTCCCGATCCATGATCTCTATTGGCTCTTTTGTGAATTGGAGATTCTCGTTGATTTCCATTTTGTCTAGAGGGATAACAAGGGTCTCATCGGACAAGCACTTCTTTAGGTTCGATACGTGAAAGGTAGGGTGTACGTTGTTGAGTTCCTGTGGTAATCGGAGTTTGTAAGCCACCGGAACGATCCTAGCAAGGATCTTGAATGGTCTGATGTACCTTGGGTTCAGCTTCCCACGCTTTCCGAAACGTATCAATCCCTTCCAGGGTGGTACTTTTAGTAGTACACTGTCTCCAACCTGGAATTCCAAGGGTTTCCGTCTTTTATCCGCATAACTCTTTTGTCTGTCTCTCGAAGACTTCAGTTGCTCTCGGATTTTAACAATCTTCTCTATAGTTTCCCTTATGATTTCTGGTCCAGTGAGAGTGTTGTCCGTTGCCTGTTCTCTTTCTAGTTGTGTGTCACCCACTTCAGCCCAACACAAAGGTGATCTGCACTTTCGGCTGTAGAGGGCTTCGAATGGGAAAACCTTGATCCTAGTGTGATAACTATTGCTGTATGAAAACTCGACCAATGGTAGATGGGTGTCCATGCTTTGCCAAAATTGATTACGCGAGCTCTTAGCATATCTTCTAAGGTTTGTATGATTCTCTCACTCTAGCCATCGGTCCGCGGGTGATAAGCGGTACTCATATCCAACCTCGTTCCTAGAGATCTTTGTAGCGACTGCTAGAACCTCGAGGTGAATCTACTATCTCGGTCCGAGATAATGGATATGGGCACACCATGTAGTCGTACAATCTCCCTGATGTATGTTCTAGTTAGTTTCTCCAATTTATCCGTTTCTTTGATTGGCAGGAAGTGTGCGGATTTAGTTAACCTATCAACGATCACCCAAATGGTGTCGAGTCCACTTGCCGTCTTGGGTAACTTGGTTATGAAGTCCATGGTTATCTTCTCCCACTTCCATTCGGGTATTTCTGGTTGTTGCAACAGTCCCGAGGGCTTTTGGTACTCCACCTTGACTTTGGCGCATGTCAGACATTTGCTCACATAGGTAGCAATTTCGGCCTTCATGTTTGGCCACCAATATAGTTTCTTGAGGTCCAAATACATCTTATCTGAACCGGGATGTATATAGTATCGTGTCTTATAGGCTTCGTTCATGACGACTTCTCTGCATCTGCCAAACTTCGGCATCCAGATTCGATTCATGAAGTAATGAACTCAGTCATCCTTGACTTCAAGATTCTTATCCATTCCCCTTAAGGCTTCCCCTACCACATTCTCGGAATTTAAGGCTTCTATTTGAGCTTCCTTGATTTGCGTGGACAGGTGTGAATGGATTGTCATAGTTAGATATTTTACTCGGCGGCCCGAGTATTCCTTTCGGCTGAGTGCATCATCTACCACATTAGCCTTTCCAGGATGATAAAGAATTTTGCATTCGTAATCGTTTAGTAGCTCTACCCACCGTCTTTGTCTCATGTTAAGTTCTTTCGGGTTGAGGATATGTTGGAGGCTTTTGTGATCGGTGAAGATTGTACATTTCGTGCCGTAGAGATAGTGCCTCCAGATCTTTAGAGCGAAAAAAACTGATCCTAACTCAAGATCG